TTCTACTTTTCTAATGGTGGTAGTCCATTCTTCAAACTATTAATATGAAGATGTTAAAATATAACTAACCTAGAGTACAATAGAATCCCTTTCTTTGCTTCAGTGTTGCAGTGGTCTTTTTGTTTCTTATGTATAGACGAGGTGATATGCAACCACTGCTGAATGTACAATATTGGAAGACAGTCCAGTAATGGAAATTTTTTGTAATTTTTTTATTTCATTTTTCTTTCTTACACACTTATATGAACCTCTTCTCTACTACACTGAACTCCTTGCCATTGGTCCAGAAGACTGGTTGCATTTACATTGGATCCCAAAAGTATCTCTGCTTCAGTAGACTACGGATGGTTGGGACAGATAGATGTAATGCTTCTGTCTTTGAACTGGATTTGGAATTTTATCCTTAAAACCTCAGTGCTACAATAGGTTCAATAGCAAAGCAAATGTGAATAGAGATTAGTTTTTTCACAGGCGTGTTCTTTCTCTAACGCTCTTCTAAATTTGTACAACAGCGCTGCTTCTGCAAGGGTCATCCTTATTTGTGAAACAATCATCTGCAGCCTACAATCTGAAAATGAAGCTATTTCCTGAGAACCTTTTTAACAGTAAGGCAAGTTGGTCACCTAGACAAGCAGATTCTCTGAAGCCAATGAATTCATGTACATCAGGAGAGTAGAAGCCTTTTCTGCAAGTGGTAAGTCTAACAAAAATGACATTGCCACAGAAAATTCCCCAGGCAAAGCCCCTATGCGATACCTCAAGACCTTTCAATAAGGTACAGCTGAAAGAGCTACAGAGCACCCCATTTCAGTGGAGGTTCCAGCCACAAAATACTGATCTGAATTGAAGTTAGATTATGATTTGCTTCAAAACAAAATGCTGTTGAGATCTTGGTTATTCCTCATGCTCTCCTAAGGTGTTCTTTTAGAATATAAGTCCGGGTGAGAGGATATATATGTATGATTGTATGATGTATATGAATTAATCAGTAGTTTGAACAATCTCAAAAAGTATCAGTTTTAGGCATATTCTTAGGCAGCCTTTTTAATCTGAAAGACTTTGACCAAACTCAGCAAACAGAAGATTTGGCAACACTGAGGAGTGGAGGTATGAACAAAATGAGCAACTTGTATCTGCGTAGCTGACCCTACAATTGATGTGTTGTGTGTTGAATGCTGCCTGAAAATGCAAGAGCAATGACATTCTGTACAGAACTTCAGTATCTGTCCTGTGTGTGCTGGATCTTGAATGTTGACTATGTACTGTTGGAGTAGAAGATATAAAAATAAAGCGCTCAAGTTGGATGCATTAAATTTCTATAATTACAAATTGTCTGTTAAAATTACAAGGCACATGGCAAGCCTACTAAACTTTGTGGATGGAGAGCATATTGGCAATGATTTACAATTAACTACCACATTGCAAATCACTCCTTGGCTGTTTTCTATTATGAAATGCATTTGTGCTACTTTATTTCCTTTTGAAATGGTAATTACTGCTGCTGAGGGGCAGTAGTTAGTGCAGAAAATGAAGTGTGCAGCACAGGGAGGAACTTGTTTCTGAGGAACTGCTGAGGAATTGTAATGATATGAAAAAAGTGCTTTTCTGACACACATGCACACAAAAGAGGTTCATTTATGAAACTTGAACCAAATAAATAACAAAATAAAGTAAACCACAGCCTTTTTGTGCAAGGGACATTGTTCACTTCTTTGTTGCTGACTGTGCTTTTTTTCCAATCAAAGTAGGAATAGTGGATTGACACTGGGAAAAACTCATAAGCCAGTGGCTTGAGGGAAACGCACATGTATGGTAATGTGATAAGAATGCCCTAGGGTAACAGGTGTGAGCTGATGTGTTTGAAAATTATCGAGTGTGCTTCTAACTACTAGCCCATTTTAGATACCTAGGATTGAACAAAAAATGGTATGGCCCTGGAGAGCTAGATTAAGTTTGACTTTTATATCTGAGGAGCAGAGGCTGTGCACTCTGAGTGGAGAGAGCAGGTATGCTCTAATTAAGTGGTGGTAAGCTCCCCCCTGACAGCTTCCCCCTTGACTGTGATTGTAAAAAGGACTGTTTTTATGAGTAACTTTTATGGAGGAATATATTAAGGTAAGCAAGGAATGAGGCTTCTAAGGTCTTAAATTTGGTAACTTGTGGTGATAATCATGATCTCTCAGGTAATAAAGTAGGCTTTCTAGCTCCGGACCTCAGTTTAAAGTTAATATATTTGAAAACAAGGTGATTGACTGTAATTTTGCTCATAGTGCTCTGCTGGTAGCTGTAAGTAAAAACATATACAGCACTTTTCATCAGAAGTGTCAGAGTGCTTTCCACACTTTAATCAATTAATTTCTGTAAGATGTTGGCATGTTTATTTCCTTTTTCCTACTGGAGGAACTGAAAGTATTGGGGCAGCAGCCAGCAAGTGTGCAGCACTTAGTGGAGCAGCAAATACTGGTAATGCCATGGTAGAGAACTGTGGTTTTCCAGAATTATTTTACAGTTAAATAGTGGAGAGGAATGGTCATATTTCCCCTGTCATAAGCACGTTTGAACTAGTCTGGTGTCTTAGAAGGACAGCGGACCAACTTGATGCTGCCAGGATGGTCCGTTCTGATGTTCAGAAGTAGTCGTAGTGAATCAGATTGGCTTAACAAGAAATTCAATATTGAGCTACACTGCCAAAAGGCAGTAGTATGCAGCAGGTGAAAGCAGGAAATGGCTCAGAACAAAAAATATGGAAGCACTGTCTAAGTATGTAAGGAAGATTATAAACTAGTCTGTTTAAATCAGCTAAAACTGAGACTTGTGCAGGATGTCAAATCACTAGTAGAGGAAAAACAAGGAAAATGTGGGACTGTTGCTGGAGTTGGCTGGTGATTTAGTATTAGTGAACATAGGCTGGACTGAAGTACACAGTGCCTTCTTTGCATCAGTCTTTGCTAACTGGGTCTCCGGAAACTCTGCTTCGCAGCAGAACTTAGGGAGGAAGAGAGTCGTATGCTGAAAAAACTTGCTGGAAGGAGAGGGTCTGGTTTGGTATCCTGATAATATGGCTCCCTGCTCCCCAAGCAGCCTAACTGTGAAGAGGAATGCACAGAGGATGGAAAACTCAGGGGTGCTTGCACCAGTTTCAAGTGACAAATGTTGGCATAGAAAAGCCAAACTAGGTTGAAAGGAGGATGCATTAAACTTACTTGACAAACTTGGAGCAAAAATCGATGTAATCTGTTCAGTTTACCCAGGTTTTAATTTAGTTGGAAATATACAGCTTCCAAAACCAGGTGATGATTTCTAAGCAGTGCATTTAATTAGTGTGCTGTTGTCCAACAGCAGTAAAATGCTGTGCTTTGCCATGAGAACATGTACAGCTGCTTTTTTTCTGCAAATAAAGATAAAAGTGGCTAATCCAGATAAGAACTATTACTGTGGAAAAATGGAGGCAGTGGCAAGAATGTAAAGATATGTAAATGTCTTCAACAGTTTCTGTGGAATTTATGCACTCGGCACCTTTAAAAGCTAGCTCATCACATAACAAAGGAGGCATTAATTTAGCAGTTTACTCAGTAACAGAAATTAGTCTATTGCTTATGGATTAACAACAAAGGAATCACACAAGAACCCTGTGTAGTAAATAAAATAGTTGCCAGTATAATTCTTTTTGTTTTGCAGATTGTGAAATGCAAATGGAATCAGTAATTTTGTTCAGTAGCATTGACATATATCAGGAATAATGCAACTAATTTTTTCTCATATAAATAGAGCCTGCTACTTTATTTCATCTAGGTTTTAGGGACTTTCCACAAAGGTGCAGGAGTCAGTTCTATAGAATTTTCCCACTACTTTTCCTGTACAAGTGGATCATTTTCCCCTTCTACTGTACATCTTTTAGTCATAAATGCAGTTATTTCTCTTCCTTTTCTAACACTGTAGCCATTTCTTAATGCTAAGTGTTTATAATGATTTTTATAAACACTTCTTAGCATTAAGAAATGGCTGCAGTGTTAGAATTGTGACTAAAGCTATAAGCAGATTCCTGAGCACACAGGCACAAATGGAGAATCTGTATTGTTAGAAAAGGGAACTCTTTCCCATGTGTCTACATCTAGGCAGTTCATTTTGCAGTTGCTTAAATAGCAGTGGACCGTCATTTGTTTTCACTTTGAATTAGGAACATAACATACAGATGCATTTCTCTTTGATACTGAGGTTTTTTTTCAGAAAGAAGAATCTTAGGAATAAGGTTCCTTATTGTGTTCTTTGTGCTTTGGAGAATATGGGTGAGTCAAAACTTCCTACTTCATTCAATTTTTCTCACAGTTTTCCTGGTATTTGCCCGCATTATGGCTCTTGCATTTTGGGTAACCCAGGCATTTGACATCTGAAGAAAACTAGCTGTTGGAAAGCTGTGCAGAAACTGGAGTGCATGTTCCCCAAGACAGCTCCTGAGACAATATCTGCATGCATATCCTATGATCTGAATTATTTTCCTGGTTTTAGGTGTCTCAGCTCCCCAGTCTCTCACATAAGAGCATACTTCTCTAAAAGCAAGGCATTTCTGAGGCAGTAGCTGCAAGTGATCTAGGTTTCTGATCCAGTTAGTGATTCTTTTGAGTAAACCATTATTCTGAAGGGAAAATAAATTAAATTGCTTAGACCTAAAGCACAGAGTTTGGGATGTCTGTTGTTGCTGTCAGAAACAAACCATTTTAGCTCCAAGAAAATAAATCCTTGAGAAACACTTCTCATCTGCTGTTTTTCAATCATTGAGGTATACAAATATATTTGAAAAGCAAAGTGCTTATGATTATATCTGCTTTTATAAGTTTAACTGTAATCAACAGACCAGGAACTGAGTGCACAAGTCATTTTAGCTACATTATTTGTGTAGAATCTCTGAGAATACAGAAGTGCTTCTGACCTAGTTAAACTCCTGCTATTTTGAAAATGATTATTAAAAAGCCATCAATACTTCTCTGAGCCCACATACTCACTTGTTGCCCGGTAACCAGAAGGATGGAGCCTTCTTTCCCGTGTACCACTTGCCGGTAAATGTGATCTAGAATTAAGAGTTCACTCCAGCAGTTCTGAAGCAACTTCATTTGGTCATCAACCTGTAAAGCAGACATTGGTGGTGTTACACTGGAAATGAGTCCTACATCACATACATCACACTACAGAGTCTGAAAGCTGGCTACCATGCCTCCTCTTTCAAATATCAGGATAGTCACGAGAACAGAAATGCTATCAAAAATTATTTGTTTCACAAAGCTGCTATTCTCAGCTGAATAAACAGAACACTGCTGAAATCATTATCTGTAAAAGGTATAGAATATTTACAGTTGATGATGTTATGCAAACTAATAATAGTAGAATAAGATAGTTCTGAAATGCTTGTAGCAACATTATATTGTTTTTGGTAAAAAAGAAAAATAGCATATCCAATGCTAATGTGAACTTTCCCATCACTGGGTTCATCATTGAACCTCAGCTTTTGTAAATAGAGAAACTCTGCTGGTTCAAGACCACTAATGCCGCAACAAGCCCAAGTCAGAGCCAAGTTCCTTTCAAAAGGAAAAAGTAAATAAACAGGTAAACATTCTCCATAAGAATGACTGTCTAAGTATGAAAAAAGAACACATAAACACGAGCTGGGTGTCTTCGGGTGTCACCAGCAGGGCACAAAAGAGATGTATACAGGGCAGTGACAGACATACCACTGCCTGCATGTGGGGATAGCAGGAGCATTCTGGGCATTCTGTACAAGCAGCCTGCATTAAGTTTTTGGTATAATGCTACTTAGGATGTGCAGAATATTGGACAATAAAGGCTCTCACTAAACTGACTGTAATTGCAACTAGATAACTAGATCCAGTCTCATTCAGTTAAAAAACTGAAAATTGATGAAAATTCGCAGGAAGATGGGGAAAAACTTTAAGTCAGAGTAAACAACAGTATCCTCTGGACTTGTTCTTACAGTGCTTACTGACTTCCTCCCTAAAAAAAAATAAAGCTTTTGACTTCAGACAGTTCTGGAAGGGTTAAAGGATGCATACATTAACTTTGCTACAATTAAGTGGCTACGGTGGATGTGGCAATAACATCTATATTATTCAAAGGGCTCTAAGAGCCTGCAATGATATTAACTGCTAAACAGATTTAAAATGATATAAAATAGGAGAAATAAAACAGAGAAATTAGCAGAGAGTGTTCGCAGTGGACGCTTGCATAAAGTTTCTCAGAGACAGTTCTGTTAACATAGTCTTTCAGGCGTTCTTATTTTGATTGATTTGGAGCTATGATAATGCCCAGGAAATTGTGTGTGAAGAGCAGACTTGCACAAGCTGAATTAGATACTGCAGTAGTCATTTTCAAATTTGATAATCATTTGTACAATTAATTTTTGCACTTTATCATTTCAAGCTTGTTTTCTAGTTATGTGGTAGAGAAAGGGGTAATGTTTATAACTAATGGATTTTCCAAGTGTCACCTATGAAAGTTAGCTAGTATTTTGTCCCCATTTCCAATCACTTGCCATATGGCTTAAACTTCAGTGTCTTAGACATTCAGTTCTCTCTTTGCCTCCCTCATTTGTCAACTTCCCTTCTCCCCTGTCACAATTGTCTCCCAGCTGTTCTGGTCCCATTTTTTCTCCCTTAGATTTCTGTATCAAATTATTCCCCCTCGTTGGACTGTGCAAGGAAATGAAATCAGGAGAGAAAGGGAACAGATCAGCATGAAGCCGATGTAGAAGCTCCTGTGTGCAACACAGACTTTTCTCCCTCACAGCCTTCGCTAGGACCTTCTCCACAACTGCAGCAGGTATCTCTGCTGGGAAATACTTCATTCTGTTTGTTTTTCTCTGTTTTGTTGTTGTTGTTGTTGTTTGTTTGTTTTCTTTTGGTATTCCAAAAGAAAAGAGAACGAAGGAAATTATTTTTAAATATTGCCAAAATAACACATAAGGTTGCAAAAATTAATCACTACAGAATTATTTAATGTTTGTGTTAAGATTGTCTGTTTTATTCCTATGTTTTTTCCAATCTGCATTTGTGTTGTAGAGATATTAATGCATAGGTACAAGAAAGGGCTGAATTAGTATGGGATAAAACACTCTCAATTTTGGTATTCCAAAAGTTTTGCTTTGAGGTTTTGAGCATTATCTTTTAACATAATTGCTGTTCTGCCTACAGTCACAGTTAATACATGTAAGCTCAGATAACACCTGTAAGCCACATAGGCATGGGCAGTAGAGATGGAGGACAGAAGGTGTGGACTCTGTAGATGGATATATTACTAAGTCAGAGTAAAGCTTGTGCTATCACAAACTCAGCCTTGCTCTATCTGTGTGCTGTCTGTGACTGTGATAATTCATTTCTGTTCAGACTGCAGAGCAAGGCTGATTCTGTATTAAAAGGTATCTATTCCCCTGCCTGCAACATGTCTTTGACATAAAGCTATTACAACTAAGTGACTTTTTAGCTCAGGAGTGGTCTTCTGAATTATCCCAATGAAACACTCACCACCAAAATGTGTGCCAGATTTGAAGTAAAGCATTTTTAGAAGGAATTGTTTAAAATTTACAGATTTCAGTACTCTTGGTTTTTATGTGGAATTGTTCATGATCATTCTCTCCTGTGTATAACCAAAGTGTTACAAAATTCAAATAAATAATGCCAACATTTGATCCTAAATTAGCATTTCAGATAAAGCTACCACAGCTTACATCTGAATAAAACAAGCTGTGAGACAGTTTAAACACTGAATATCCATGTCATAACAACCAATACCTGAATAAGAGGTCAAGCATTTGATTGTATTATAAATGACATATTTCTAGCTAACCCATCTGTCTCAACCACAGGCAGCAACTTTTGAAAACAAACTGCACTTTACAGGTCTGGCTTTCTGAAGGCCCCAACAGCAGCTAGTCTGCAATCAAAGCCTACCTCCCAAGCTTTATCATATCATTACTGAGTCAGTGCTGTGAGAACAGTATGAGATGGCAAAATCACAAAAAAATGTTTTGCACACTGCCTGTTCCTGCTGTTCTACAAGACTCATAAAACTAGCAACAGCGAACATCTGCTAGTAGTTCACAAAATCTGTCTCTCTGTATTCACTGCAATTTAACCAGTGAAAGCCTATAAAATGGATATCATAAAAAGCAAAATACACATCCAAAACACAGTGTTGGCTTCAGGAAACGATTAGATCCAGCTGCTTTTGCCATTTTAAGAAAGCTGGCAGGGCAGCAAAATGCTTCCCAGTTTGTGCTAGGAAGAAACAGAGATGGCTTTCAGGAGGGTCGCAAATTAATAAAATGGAGGAGCAATTTCAGCCTACTTCTGAAAGGAGTATAGATGAGGAAAACCACATACCTCTGCTAACAGATACTGGATATAAAATAGAAAACAACACAAACCACTGAGTAAATGTGGTAACATAGCACACCTTATGCTAGGATTAGCTGGCAGTCTTTAGGAAGTGTGTAACATTATCTAGAGCACAAACGCCTTTGTGTTTCTGTGGCACACTTGTGCATAAGCATACATTGTCTGACAAAACAAAAAGTTAGCGCTTGGCCACAATAAATGCATATCTTAAAATGATCTTGAAGCCAATGAGGTTTAAGCTTTGATGGATAAAGTGCAGAGTGAATTCTGAAAAGGAAGTACTTTGCAGAAAAAGCACCTTGTGAACTTTAGTTTCTGTGACTCCGAAGCCAGAGCATGTTAGTCCTCCATTAACATGGTGAGGAGAAGAAAGGGTAAGATTCTGTGACCACAGTGTCTTAGCTCCAGTCATTAGCCTTCAGTAATCAACACTGGTTTTGTTCATTGTATGCATTCAGTTAGAAACAAGCCCAAAAGCTTGTACTGGTGGCTAAATTTTCAGCTTTTTTGGTTTGTGGAGATTTTTGAGACTGTTATCAATTAACAGTAACAACAAAGTGCCCCTTTGAAACAACTACTGAGAATGCTTATAAATAAAAATTGAACATCATATGACCAACAAGTGGCTACTACAAGAACTCTCCCCAGATCTGCAGCTGCTCCCTGCCATAACAAACCATTGACATAAGCATAATGTAACCCATGTCTCACCTAAGCAAGTTGTCAAATGATATATCCATTTGACAACTATGTAGCCTCAAGCAAAAGCAAGAATGAATACTGTGCTCAGATGGTTAAATTTAGGTCCTGACTGGCCAGTGGCATTCAGATGATGACTCTCATCAGCAGGGACAGTATAACTGGAAGTTGTTGCTGAAAAAATGGTTTTTAAGGGAAGATGTGGAGGAAGCTAAGGGAAAAGAATAGTAATGTTAAGATTGTGAAAGCAGAAAAACGTCTTATTTGTAAAACAGTGACTGGATAACAGAGGAAGCAAGGAGAGTACTTAGGAGGAGTTTGTAAAGGAAAGGGTGTTGTGCAGTGAGAGGACATGAGGGAAGTGGATGTCAGGTAAAGCCATGAAGGTGAAGATTATGACGTTGGATATGATACAGAATTAAAGGGATTGTGTGAGAGTAAGTGAAACTGCTCGGGCAAAGAAAGAGCAAGTACTTTGTGTCAGACAAAGAGAGGATGGCAGTTGTCACGAGCAGAGATGAAAATGGATATGTGGATACTATCCACACTCAAGAAGTAAGAATATTAAGGCGGAATGAGGGGTGGTTTTCTAATAGCTTTAGTACATGAAGGTATCCTATTTCAATCCTTTTTTCTTATAAGACAATCCTATTCAACTATGATTATAGCAAGGACAAAGAAACATGTCAGAATTTGGAGTTATCCTTGTGCTGTTCGGATTACTTGGAGCATTTTCCTCACATTACAATTGGAAGATAAATGGTCATTGTCACAGCCACTCACCACCACCCCATCATGCTGCCTACCAGCTATCGTACTAGCCAGAATGAATAACAGCATGGCTCACTATATGAAAAAAAACACAAACAACAACACACAAACCTCTCTGCGTCTATGAGGGTTGCTCCAAAAGTAACACCTTCTATTTTATTAAGTTGGCCCACAATGTCTGAAATGGATGTTGGTGGTATGGAAGTAGAGATTGAACCTTCCCATCAATATCCCATTATGTTTTGTTG